CTGCCGTACGGCTGTCGTACTCCAGCTCGTGCTGCAGCTGGGCATCGCTGAAGTGAGGGACCGGTTGCGGATCACGCTCCGCGGCGGCGGCGGCGGCAGCTACTGCGGCGGCGGCAGCGGGGCTAAGGTCTGGCAGCGGCGGCGGCGGCTGCTGCAGCGGCGGCGGGTCCGGGAGGACGTCAGGTACTGCTCGTCCCAGGCTAGCGGCGGCCTGCCGTACTGCTTCATCCCAGGTCAGAGTGGGCGGGCCCAGGGGGGGTTCCGGGGGCAGTGCCCGCCTGAGGGGGGAGGAAGGGACCGGGGTGTACGGCAACGAAACCTGACAAATGACACGGGGGGGAAACGTAATAAATCTGCGGTGCTCACTAGGATGTGCCGCTAGCATCGTAGTTGCCATACTAGGGGCTTTGTAGTACGCATTCTGTGGCGTGTTGGAGGGAAACGGTTTACAACTTGGGACGCTCCTCTTCCTCCCGTACTGCTCGTACATCGTCCGTTGCTCGACCAAATTCCGCTGGCCACTAACAACTCGACAAGGACAAGCCCCCACCTCTCCTGCCCTTCCTGATACTCAGATGATACCGCATTATGAACAACTGGAGGAGTATGAGTATGCGTATGCATATGCATATGCATGCGTTGAGGCCAAGTGTGCCGTACATGTCCCATGTGTCGTACCTGTACGCCGGCACGTGCCCGGGACCCTCTGCCCGCCACTCCATGGGGGTATGCGGGACACCCGGGGGTAGCGGCCTGGTTGGAGACGGTTGGGAGTTAGCGGTTAGATTGTTCAGTTGGATTTTAATTAAAGGGTTAAAGTAGTAAGTTATAGAGGAACTTTAAAACAATATTCTGGTCATGTTCTAACGGGTCTACCGGCCATTTTGCCGTACCACCGCAGCTGTGTGTGAGCAGAGCCACCGCCGCCGCCGCCACTACAATGCCGCCAGGCTGGCGGCGGCGGCGGCGGCTGAAGGCAGCGTTCCCACCGCTCCAGGGCCGCCCGGCTTTCCAGGTACGACATCCTTAAGAACACCCCCCCACACACACACAAAGCCCGCGCACTGCCACCGACCCACCGACCCACCTGCCCTCCATATCGCAATCCGAGTCCGAATCCGAAAGCGGTACGTCCCGTCGGGTCATGTGACCAGCAGCCAGCTGGTTTGCCGTACTCAGGGACTCCTGGGGAGAGACCCCGGGGATCGAGGGGGGGGAGGGGGTTTTAGGGCTGGCGAGGAGCGCGTGGGGGGAGGGAGCCCGCGAGGGGGAACCTTACCGGCATCTCCATCCTCATTTTGAGTTCTGGATCCATTTTTTGGAGCCGCTCCAAATCCAGAGCCATTTCCTCGGTACGATACCTAGCCACCTGGGGTAGGTTGGTTCCGTTGTGGATTGTGAGTGGGGGGGACGGGGAATGTGGGAAGGGGGTGGGGGGAGAGGAGAGGAGGGAGGGGGGAAACACAGACGAACCACAGACGCGGCGGGAGACGAGGAGGGAGGGGAAAGGAGGGAGAGGTGAAGAAGCAGAAAGCCAGGACCTCGAAGCGGTGATGTCCATGTGGCCACATATCGGATCGATGAGGCCAGGGGGCCAGATGGGTCGTTGGGGGCCCCAAGAAACAGGCGGGGTTGGGTTAGGTGGGGGGAAGATAACCGAAAGAGTGAAGTCCCCAATCTTCTTCGCAACCCAATGCGCTCAGGAAAATCAGGATACATCCAGGATCCAAGATACCGATTCCGAGATCCAGATTCCGTTCTGACCCCGACGGTCCGGACCTTGTGCTGCTCCTTGGCATTGAATATCCAGGGAGGGGTAGCCAGCAGCCGCTGAGACATAAGGCCCGGACCGACCCGTGGGCCGGTCCGGTTGTTCATGAAGGTGTACTTCGTAGGCGGCGGCGGAGGCGGCTGCCCGGTAAGCCGCGCCGTCTCCAAAGCCGCGCGCTGCAGGATCTCGTTGGCATTGTAGGCGGCAATGGGATAGCCGTACGGATCGGCGCCGCCGTCGGACGCCGCCGCCGCCGCCGCCGTGCCGCCCGGCTGGGAGGATGATGATACGGCAGGTGGTTGTGTTGCCGTACGACGCGCCGGCGTGGCTCCCGGCGGTGGCGGCGGCGGTGGCGGCTGCAGTGGCGGGAGGGCGCTGACGTGGCCAGCCGCCGCCGCGGCGGCGATGGCGGGGTCGGTGCCAGCGGCCGTCAGCAGTGCCGCCGCGTGCGGTACGACATCGCCGGCGGCTGCCTGTTGCAGATGAACACACGAGGGCGACATTCGCCATAACCCGGACAAAGGGGGAATCAGGGGGAGTCAGGACACCGCACTCAGCATTACCCCCCTCCGGCCCCCCCACTCCGTTGCACCCACCATCTCTCCCGACGCAATGAAGTGCAGGAACTCGGGCGGAGGCGGCGCCCACACACCCGGAAGGGGCTCACGTTGCAGCGGCCAGGCGGCGGTTGGGAAGTACTGCCGCTTCCGCGCCCGCAACAGCCGCCGCCCGGTCCCGGCTCCCGCACCCCCTCCTGAACCGACGTGAAACTCCGCAGAGCTCTCCCCCTCGCCCCCGACGGCGGCGGCGGCGGCGGCGGCGGCGACGGCCCCCCCCCGCTCCGCCGCCTCCGCCGCCCTGGCTTGGATCTCCTGAGGCCGCATTTCCACCCCCAGTTGCCCCCCGGTGTGTTGGGTTTGCCGTACATGCAGGATTGCCAGTGGGGGCCCCCATTGCGTTCGGGGCCCTGAACACTCACACATACGACAAATACGGAACCGTGTGAATAGGATATCCAGAATCCACAGTCTAGATTTCTGGATCCAGTGCCCCGTTATCCCAGCACAGCTCGTATCCGCTCCGGCTCGCTGACAAACAACAACAACCAACCAACCAACCAACCAACCAACCAACCAACCAACCAACCAAACAAGCAAGGAAACAAACAAACAAACAAACAAGCAAACAAACACATATACAACAAGCACACACACATATACAACAAGCGCACACACATACATGCATACATACATACATACATACATACATACATACATACATACATACATACATACATCAGACCTCACCCGCCGCTCCTCGGGGGTGAGGGGCTCTCCCCGCATGACCTTTTGCAGCTGATCCAGGATGCCCCCG